ATTATTTTAATATGTATTATGTTTTATAATTACCGAAAACATTATGTCAAACTTTTCATCATGAGGAACATATTCTGGAACTTTAAGAAAAATATGTAAAGTTGTATCAATAACTCCATCTTTTTGTCCAATTTTTGAGCCATGAGCTAGTTAGTAGTAAACAAGACATTAGTATAAAAAAATTTTATTTTAAGCTCACAAACATGTATATCATATTACTTATATTAACACTTACTTATTCGATTAGAGTCATGTGACAAATTTATAAGCACTTTTAAATTGGCTGTAAGACACTCTCGTAATACTGCACTTATTGAGTCTTTGTCGTTTCCATTATAACTTGGATATAACGGTATCTCATAATCACATACTTTAAACAATCTAACTAATGTGTCAATCAAAATTCCATTTTCAAAATCTAATAAATAAGCATTATTTTCTTCATTTTGCATTGTCACCTAAATAATGAAATACAATAGGTAATAATTAGTTTATAAGATAAAACTTACTTATAAATAACTAACTTATATCTTACATTTTCAAGTATCCTTAAACAACGGTCCACTTTTTTAATACGGTCAAGTAATGTTGGGGACCACACATTAGTCATTGAATCAACATGGTTACAACATTGTACAACTGTACGTACAATGTGATCAAGACCTCCAAGCTGCCGCATTTCTTCTTTAAACCACTCACCAGCTCGAACACTAGTAAGACTTAACAGAGTCTCCATAGCCAATTGACCTACAGTGATATTATCTGTGTTCAAGTATTTAGCGGCTCCTTGAGATTTAATCTCTGAACATAATTGTATAACTCGTTCACGGGTCTTTTGTAATTGATGATCGGTAAGACCACAATCATCAAGGGCTTGATCATGACTCGTATCATTTTCTAATAAATTTAACATAAGTTCAAGACAATCACGGTCTAAATCCATATTCAAACGATCTTGACTTAGAACAAACATAACAGTAGCTGTACACATTCCTAAGCTCTAGAAGATAATAGGACAAAGTTACTTAAAATTATTTAACTAAATAAATAATATTAACTATAAATACTTGATCTTTGGTAGCATCTTGTAATGCACGAAATATTTTAGCAACTGTTCCGTGTGCTTTAACATGCATCCTAAAAGCTGGAGTCATACATTTAGTGGCCAATGTTATTGCAGACAGACATCTAAAATAATAAGACACTTTGTTAATACTGAATTCATTAAATATAACAAGTGAATAACTAATATCATTGATTGTGAATACTAGTATTTATAACCAATGCTAATACCTAGTTCCAATTTTGTTGTTGGGTTGTAGAGCATCTAAAATATACTCAACATCATCATTAAACTCTTGAAATTCTCCAGACTCTTGAATTTGGTGAGCTTTTTTAACATTTCGAACAACAGTATAATACTAAAAAAAAATATAATATAATTTTAGATTTAAAAATAATAAAAAAAATTTAATAATTTAGATAGTACCTATGATACAATCAACAAAACATTATAAAATACAGTAAAACCTGTTTAAGATGCTCTCCTAAGGATCAGTTAAAAATAGCGTCTTAAGCGTCTACTGAACTCGTAAAAATTAGAGTAGTATGCAGGAAATCAAGTTAATATCTAAATTGTACATTTTTGTGCAATATACAGCACTTTAAAAGCAATAAAATAATAAATAACTTGAAGGTAATTTAAACAATTAACTCATAGTTTTACTTTTACAGTTTTAGTATCATTTTTGTTGAATAATTTTAGTATTATAAAATTTATACTTAAGCATTCATTTTTTGCTGTATATATTAGGTTCAATAGTTGAAAATATTAAGAGAATCTATTTGCCCAAAATCATGTTCAGTAACAAAGAATATTAATATAAAACCATCATGTGCCTTGCTTTGCAAAAATTCTAAAACGATTACTAGTATTACTACATTTAAAGTCATATACAGGATGATTTTATAAACGCATTATTTCAAAAGCTATTATAATTTTTGAAAATTTTTTTTTATATATACTTAGTTACTAGTTATGAAAAACAATATTTTCTAAAAAATCAAACTTTTATAAGTTTTTACTTTTTTGAAATATATCATACAGATAATTCTAGCTTCTTTTTATAAGTAAGTTTTGATGAGCGGAGTGTAAATTATAAGTTATAAGTTAAACTAATAAGCTACTCTTTCAAAATTAGATTTTTATGCATCAAAATAGGTACTGTGAAAAATATTTTGCTTTCAAACATGAAAATGTATGTTGTCATTCAAAAAACTTTTAATAAAAATATTATGATAAAAAATACTAAGATGTAATTTTGTAAGAAAAATGTTTTCAAAAATGATAAGTTATCGAAATGATAATTATCAAATAAAGAATGTCATACATCAAAAAAATTATTCTGTATATTAATAACTTACTCCTTTTTCTTTTTTGTCACATTTAAGACTTGTAACTGAATCGAAATCATCATCAAATACATCAGTTGATTTTGTAATTCTCAGTAAAGGTTTTTGTTCAAAACTACAAGGACTTGTATTTGGAATAGACTCTTCTTTCTTTTCTTCGTCAATTTTTTTATCTTTATCAACCCATGAATGTTTATAAAGAAACATACCTTTCTTATTTCTTTCATTCCTAGATTTAAAAATACTTTTCTTTGCTGGTATTATTGTTTCAGGTGGGTCTACTGCCATTTTTTCAGTTATGTCGTCATCCTCAATCTTGATTGGTTCAGTTTCTACAAATACTCCTCGATGTTTTGAAGAAGAAATTTCTGACTTGATCTTAACATCTTCATTTTTTTTCTCAATTTTCTTGCTAGAAGGTTCTTTATCAGGCTTGAAGTGTACTTCAAGCTGTTTTAGTAAATCATCAGTCACATCAGGTTTTTCTTCTTCATTATCTACTGGAATATCCATTTTAGGGCTAGATATAGATTCATCACTACCCTCTAATACAGCCAACAACTTATTACGGTCATTTTCCAATTGTTCAATTTTAGATTTATCAATATCCATGTTAGTTGTTTCTTTCTCATTTATTTCATATTTCAATTCTTCGTCATCCTGATTGATAATAGTATGTTTAGATATATTAATTTTTAAAGTGGGAACTGTGAATTTAGCCCTATCTTGACGTCTCTTCTTAGGAATATCAATAATTGGAGGAGATTCTTCAGTTTCTGGCTCAGTATATGTAGTTTGAGGGTTTCGTCTCCGAAGACTTCTTGTAGTTATGGTAGGAGTAATTTGATCATTACTTTCTGGTACTTCAATTGCTTGTAGAGGTTTTTGTATAGAATTAGGCTCATTCACTAATTGCGATTTACCCTTAAATATTCGAAGAACGATAGGTGGTTTACTCGGGTCTTTAGTCGGTGTTAATGATGTAAAAGACAATTCTTTTGCTTCTGGAACTCTGTCTTCTTTTTCAGGAGAAGATTCGGGGGTTTTCTGAATAACTGTTTTAGTTTTCTTGGTCACTTCTGATCCACCATATTTTCGGTCAGATCTATTAGAATCAGCATTGCGACTTTTAAAAAATTTCTTAGGTCTTACTACATTCACAGTAGGTTCTGGTATAGCAATTTTAGGTGCAGGACTAGGTTCTTGGTGTTGCCTTTTCTTTCCTACACTAAATCGAGATCCTGAAGTTTCTTCAGGTTTTCCTTAAAAAATATAAACTATTTAATTAAAAATGTTTATAATTATTATTATTATTATTTAAAACCAAATTAAATTTATAATATTACCTGTATTTGTATTACCTGTGACAAAATTAGTACTTCTAATGGAAGTAAATGAAGTAACACCCCATTTGCCAACAGTACCTGAAGATTTGGCTGCGGTAGGCCTATTAGTGTTTTCACACAGTAGCTTATCAAAATTTATGGCTGTTTGTACAACACTATTCGGATTATTAGAGTACTTTGCACGGCCATATGACTTCATGTAAGATCTAGGACCTTTCGCAGTGCTCTACAACACAAAATATATTAAAATTAAAATTAAAAATATACCTAGGTATTTAGGGAAGTATTATAATATGATAAAGGTAATATAAAATAATAAGAACAGATAAATGTCAAGCCTGATCTGAAATTTTAAATATCTTATATTGATGATAGAAGTTTAAGACCGGAATTTATAGAAAACTTGCAACATATTTTTTATCAGTACCTAAGTGCATATTATTATACACAGAAAACATTTGTATTTGAATTTCATTGCAGACTAAAGTACTGAGACACTAAGTAATCATATTATAAACATAAATCAATAATGTACTTAAAGAATAAATAGGTAATATAGCTTGTAAGTAATCTTTATATTATTGTAACATAATATTCTCATAAAAATTATGTTCATGTGTTAACCTAGTATAAATCATCCAGCTATTAAATTATATTTCCAATAAATATATAAAACATTTAGTCACCCATATTAAAAACAGTATAATAGGTAAGCTGAATAGTTAATATATAAATACAAATTCATAATATACATATATAATACATTGCTAACATTTTTAAACTAGGTATACTTTGTACATAAGTGCAACTAGTATAGATAATAGAAAATGTCAAGCATTACATAAAAATATTGAAAAATACCGTTTCTATCGGTCCCATTGAGAAGATGTAAAATTGTTATGAAAATTGTTGTAAAAACTCATTAGGTAACACTCATCACTATAGATGAACGATTTCAATTAATTTTCAAAATTAATTTTGTTCGGTATTGAAAATGTTCTGGAACAGTACAAAACCAGGCACTTGACTGCCCGAGTGTCAACATTTAAGGGACATACTTCATTAGCATTGTCGCGTTTATAGGTAGGTAGGTATAATATGATGGCAATTTATAGGTGTTTGAGAAAATAGTTTCCATTACAGTATTTTGTTATACAATAATCATCGATATACCTGCATGTTAAGAGTCGTAGGCGTAATCAACTACTGGATGCATCTGATCAACTCCAACCGTTTTTTATTTCAACGCACGGGGACCAACGACGTCATATCTGAAGAGGGCACCAGACGCATTTTACAGGGCTCAGGGAATTCCAATCGTACTGCAAATTGCGAAACGAGTAATTAATTTCGAAACTTCAAAAAGATAATTGTAGGTATGAACTCGACGGAGTAGGTGATCACGGATCTTGTATGCATTTAATAATAATAAAAAAAATTTATATTGTAATTTGTAAACAAAACACACACATACGCACGTACACATATACAGAACGGCACACAGGATCACAGGACACAGGCGATGGACGGTATGAAAATAAAAAATTACAAAATATGCAACAAGGCGCACGCGCAATGGCTTAGAGTCGATAGTAGTATCGATTAGTTTCATGTTCCATGGACTTATGCGATCTTTCCATGATTTGATTTTATAAAAACTACATTAAAAAATCATTTTTACAAGCACGATCTAAAATGTAAAAATTAGAAAAATCTAAGACCCTTAGACAGCACCATGAATTCAGTTTTTATAATGTAAAACATTGTAAATATGTTTTATTTATAAGTACCTACTAAGTAATATGTTAAGATTTAATATATCTACCTACAACGGCTACAACCTACAATATAATAAATAATTAAATATATTTATATTGGTTAATGTATGGTAATGTATGGTCAATGGTCATAAGTACCTATATAATTTATTTATGCTACCTGTACGGCTATACGTACCTATCTACAAATATCTTTTAAGTACCTAAATACATTCATAAATCATAAGTATGTATATACAATATACTATATAATATTTATAAGTTACAACTTATAAAATATGTAACAATGTTATTTGTTAGATAACTATAATACTAAAGACTATATAAAATATAATATATTATAGTCTATAATAGGTAACCCATGAGTCATGACCCATGTATAACAACAGTACAACCCATACACAATATACTAGACACCTAACTGTAATCCATGATCCACAGGACTTCCCCGACCCCTGCTATCAAAATTTCAAAATAATAATATGTTAAGGGTGTCGGTGCCGGTTTTTTCAATTTTCCAAAATTCTATAAAATTTGAAAATTATATTTTATATTTTAGTTACATATTACCTCCTTAAATACTTTTCCACTAATCTACAGCTCGATACCTATTTGGGGAAAGGGGTTCATAATGGGTATTATATCAATGAAAATGACTTCACAGGAAAAACTCTCGCACCATGTAGAATAGTTGGACTTTGTTAGTTTTTTTTTTATTTAAAAGGAAAGAACATTTTTCAGGTCAGATCATAGGTCTAATTTTAATTTTACTTAAAATAGAAGTAAAAACGTTTGAAAAAGAACAAATATTGTACATTAGTGCATAATTCAAATGCATATTTTAGATTCTATAATTATAGTTTTTAAAATTGTGCCTTAATCCTACCTGCAAAATGTTCTACTTTTAAATAAAAAAAAAATCAACAAAATCCGACTATTATAGAGGGCGTGAGAGTTTTTCATGTAAATAATGTTTTTGTACTAAAAAAATACAAAAAAACAATTATTCAATGAATTTATTTAAAATGATTTTTAGAATTCCCAAGTTTAGTACACTATTACTTTAACACCATTTTTTCAAATACATTATACATATTTTTTTTTTATGCCATTTAAGAGTAAGTACCTACCAAGGATAGCTGTGTGCCTGCGTCAATACAAGCTTCTTTTTACATTCTGAGCAGATTAGTGAAGAGATAAAATGTATCAATTTTACAATGCGTTTATTTTTTGTGTATTGGAGTGTGTCTATATGTCCAAGACAAGTATAGTCGTATTAGAAACCTAATTTGTGGAATGATTAAACAAAATTGAAAATATACAATATATATTACTGTTAAAATATTTTTATTAACACCACAATTGGATAAAAATTAATTCCAAATCTAACAAAAAATTATCATTTATGACGTACATATATAGCGTATACCACATGTATATAATATCAAACATTATGTAATAACTAAAAATTAGTAGGTAATAATACACAAGTCTCCACTATAATTATTATAACCAGTGGCGGATGGACAAGGTATTGCGGCCCACTAAGTTTTAGGATTTTTAACATTGACTACAGCTATAGTTACTTTACAGTTTAATAATTTGATTAAATTAAATTGTTTACTAATTTTCATACTAATTCATCAATATCATGTAAAAATATAATTATGGCCAAACATTCATGACCGGCCATCAATATTTTCTTTCCTAATGATCCTAATGGCCATAATTAGTTAACTTTGTTACTACAATTTGTTTATAGTTCTATTTAAATATAAGATAACCAGTATAATTTATTTTAAATTGTATACTACTTAAGAGTAATGATACTAGGTTTGTAAGCTTGTAGTAACTTAAAACCTGGAGATCCTTCTGGTTCATTTTTAAGTATATCTAATGCTTTAGATAATAATACTTTAGCTTCGTCATGCATTCCTTTACTTTCAGCTTTATTTTCTGATATTCTCGCAGCTGATTCCAACAATGCCAAATGAAGTTCATATAATATCACTGAAGTATAAATGTTCAATCGTATATATAATGGATCAATAATGTTTAGTATAAAAAACATATCTCTGCATAGTTCTACAAAATAATATTAGTACAATTTTATTTTTTTTAAATAATTATTTTTTTCTAGCCTCCATACCGGATTTTCTTTTCAATAAATCGTCAGTTAACATTGAATGTTTGTAACCCATTGAATGACCGTACAGCTGTATTAAGGTATGTTTTACATTAAAAAACAAGTAATGGTTTGAATGAATACGTGATTTCAGTTTTGAAAAAGCATCTTCTAGAGAATTTATACTTGGTTTCTAAAATAAATAAGAATATAATTTTTGTTCTTACTAGGTAAAATATAACTCAATATTATATACTTGGAGAGCTTTATCAACAATGTAATTTAACTCCGTTAAAATTGCATCAATTTTATCTGATGAAACAGTGTTTGGACACCTATCACACTCCCATTCACTGGAATCATCTAAAGGATGTATTGGAGTAAGATTTCCTTTACAAAAACCTTTTACCTATAAAATATCAAAATGTATTAAGCTACATTAAGTAGTGAAGTATAGAAAACATAATATGTTTATTAGACATTTTACGATACATTATATATATTTATAAAGTTTATTGATTAGTAAGTAGACTTAAAATAAAGAACTTACATTACACACAATAGTACTAAAATTAGTACCCAGTTCGGTAGCATCAGAACATCTTTTACATTTACATTTAAAATATTTTGTAGACAAAAGATGAGCTCTTCTTTCTCGGGTTCCCCATAATGCATTAGTGTACATAGTAGATATATGTTCACCTCTGTTATCAATTCATATTCATAAATATTTCACCACTTTAGTTGTTTTAATTTAAATTTAAATGTCCTTACTTAGTAATTTTACGAGAAGCATAAACATAAATACGTCCACATTTATCAAATGATATACCAACATTTGGTAAACAGTTGTGTTCTAGTTTGCTTACTGTAGGATATATAGCGGTTAACTCCAAACCGGCTACTTGAACATCTAAAGCATTTACATCTAAAATACCACATATTTTGTGTATAATGTCTGATGATGTTTCAAATTCTTCTCCACTCAAGTAATTATTTCTTAAATAATTATACACTGAATTAATCTCCCTAAATTAATAATAATTATTGTATTATTATGTTATTATGAACAATGAACATTTAAAGTTTTATTACCTGTTATTTTGTACATTACTTACTCGTATACTTCTGATTCTGGACCTCTATATTCCATGTGAGACTTTAATTCCATTAGACGATTCCATTTGTTTTTATCCGTGAATTGCAATAATAGACATTTTAAAGGGGTTAAAGCATCATACATGTAATCATTATTTTTAGCGATTTTTTCAGATCCTTTCACTAATACTTTACATTCAACTTCATGAATTTTTTCATTGATAGATGTTGCACATCCTGCACCACAAATGGGCCATAAACACTTTTCACACAAAGATTCAACTACAGACTCTGATCTTTTCAAACGTTGTAAACATTTAATGCATATTGGTTCTGAAGTTGGAAACTTAGGACCTATAACTAATGGTTCTTCTTGAATTATAATTTCGGATGGATTAATAGTACGTTTAGCTATGAGATGACGACCTATATTAGAATCTATTTGTAACTAAAAAAATAATTAAATACAATATATTTTGTGTTTAAATATTAATAATTTTTAATTACCTCATAAGATACACATTCATTTTTATGTTGTTTCCAATGAGCTTTTTGATGTTCCTTTGAACAATACACAACCAATGTGCATGCTGCACATTTACTACTAGCATTATTGCCACAAAATGCACAATGACTAATAATTTCTAAATGTTTAGAAATGATTTCATTATACATTGCCATATTTGATGTTAACACTTAATACTGTTTTAGTGTTCAATAAGAAATGTGTTACAAATATATCCTCTGCACCGCATTATAGTATATCTATTTTGGAAGATACTATAAATACCCTGATCAAATGGTTCCCAAACTAGATGAATAATACTCGATAGTTGACATGATAAAAAGTACCATTTAATTTCAAATTACTTAAAATTATTTACACATATAATATTATTATTGCTAAAAAACATAAATACAGCAAGAGAAATTTAAAAAATAATAAAACAATAACACTATATAGAAAATATTTACATTAATTTAATCTGCATGTTCATGCTGTGCTTCAGCTTCACGCCAAATGTTCTTTATGTCTTCAACAAATTTTCTCCAGAAATGCATAGTCCTAACATAAACTAGTGTCCAGAATATAATTACAAACCATGCTAACCAAAGAGAATAATCATAATCACGATTCCCAAATCCAGGAACAGGCTTTACAAAATCTGTCATAGAAATTTCCACCTTTTCATTTGGAGTGAGATCTATATAAAAACAGTAAAAACATGGATTTAAATAATAAAAAAAAATTACATTTGTTTAAATAAAAAATATTCAAAAGATAAAACTATCAATCACACAAACGATACAAAAATAATGTATTATATGTCACAATACAAATTGTAATTAAAATAATAAGTTGAATAATACACATTTGAATCAGTCGTTTGAGAAACACGATTAATCCCAAAACCCAAAGTTTCAGAAAAATTAAAATAATATTTCTTACTAGAAGGGTTTATCTTGATTCCTAAAATTTGTACTACTATTAAAAACTATTTAAAAAAATAGTCTAGTCTGGATTCTTTTAAAATATATAGATCTATACATGACAATTTTAAACCTGCAAAAAAACGCGATTCCATATTTTTGGACAAGTAGGGTCTCTCAAACGACTGATTCATTTGTATTTTAAAAATTATAAATTAAAATGATTTGATTGTTTTAATATTATTATTATTATTGTATTTTTAATATGATAATGGTATTACGATAAATCATTCATATTATGCATATTTTTAATAATATGGCATATGTTTAGCAACAACAAGACACCATGTCAATACTTGACTCATGCATGTAGTCATAGAACTCTATCTTTATTTTTATAATTATTAATTATTAAGTTATAGGCAAAGTTGAGCTAGGTTACCATTTTTATTTTTTTTTTACTTAGTTTTTTAGACATAATAGATTTTTGAACTAGTTATGTAAAAAGTTATGGTAGTAACATTGTAAAAATACATAAATTAACTATAAAAAATACTTTAAAATACAGTTTAGATGATAAGTAGATTATAATTTAGCACTTGAGTTTTATACTCATATGCCATAGGCCTGTGCAGACTTTTGGTTCCGGGGGTATACACTAAAAATTAGGGCCGCAATAATTTTGAAAACCATTATAGATACAGACAAATGTTTTAAAGATATAAAATACACTAAAAATATTTATTTTGTTTTTATTTTTATTCTAATAAATATTACATAACAATATATAGATATGCAATCTTATAATGATAGTCGACGTTTAAAAGGAACAACATTTTTTAATTTGTCAATAATTTCATTAAAATCTAATTTACATGCTAGTTCATGTTCTGTGAATATTAGTAGTAATGATTCTAGTCTATTTTGGGACATAGTATATCTGAGTTTATTTTTTACAATGCCTAATTTGGAAAATATCCTTTCACATGTGCAACTTGTTACTGGTATTATGGTAAACATTTTTAATAGGTACTAAATACATAATATTGTTAAAAATGTCTAACCGTCCACTCTCTTTTAAACAGTCTAACCACACATAAACAGATTAACTGGATGTACCACCTAGTACATTAGGCATTTGTTTGAGAATTTTAATTTCAGCTTCCAGTTCATCGATTGTACATAGGTATTGAAAAATTTAGAAAAAATATTTGAAAAACTGTTATTTAATTATAGCTACAATCAATTTCCCACAGCACTAATCAAATCTAAGTTTTCTTGATTGAATCTTATGCTTATAGCATTTACAAGATTATCTATTAACGGATTAAATACAGAACACCTGAGTTCAAAATATTTGGAATCTTATAAAAATTGATTTGAATAATTTTTATCTAACCTCACAGTCACTCTTTCTTTTAACCTTAGGATTTAGGAATAATAATATAATATATAATAATAAATCAATACATTTGGTAGTAATTTCTTCAAAAATGTACCATTTCTCATAAATATTAATGAACTTTTAAGTGCTTGAATAGATCAAATTGAGGAAACTGAAGTCCTGAACTTACTTTTAAATTAATGTGAAGTAAATCAATACCTTTAGCTTTCATATACACATAGCAGTACAGTTTTTACAAATTTCATCAATAGCAACTATTAATATACTATAATTATTTTACACTACACTTACAGCTTCTGATCTACAAGCCCAACGAGTAATAGAGAATGATTTATAATAATTAGATTTTTCAAGATTAAAAAATTTACACTTAATTAATAATTAGGGGCTAGGGCTATAGTCGTTTTGGTGAATGGTCTGGGGGGAGGAACCCCCGGCACCCTCTGTGTGCTATGTCGTATGCTACTTACAATATTTATCATAATAAAGATAATAAAATGAATAATGATAAAAAAAAATTGTTCTATATGATTTAACATTAATATTAAATAAATAAAATAAAATTATAAGCCATTCTTCATCATGTCCTCCAATCAAGGAAATTTTTCGCACTCCAAATTAGAATACATATTTTGTCAAACAGAGTATATGACTAAAATATTTTCATAATTAATAGTTTGCTGCTCTAAACTAAAAATAGATTTTTACCTAGTTTATGAATATAATAAAAATGTTTTCATCAAATTTTCGAATTAAAAAAATCAGTGCTTTAAAACTTGCCATAGCGATAAGCACTTGACCTACCCGTTATCAATTCGAACCAAATTACAGATGATAAAATACTTTTGGTTTGAATAATAACAATTGACAGACATACCAAAAATAATATGTTAATGCTGTTTAAGTTCCTTAATGGTTTTAGACCAATTAGTCATAGAATACAATAAAGCCTAGTTTATATACTTTCCGATGCCCAAGTCTAATTACTGTTTGAAATGTATATATGAGTTTACTAGCTTCTATTCTATGTTATTTACGAAAAATATTTTTTAATTTTTTAAAAAATTTAAATAAAAAACAAAAATAATATTTTCAATTCTATATATATTTTAAGTTGTCAACGTTAAATATGTTTCCTACATAACCTAGTATAAAGGTTAATGAATCTTTTGAGAAAATTTAAATCAGACTACTGGTAGTACATAAAAAACTTCCTCTTTTAGCAGTTTTCATTAAATTTAGGGGGTAGTTTTAAGGAACATTTGAAATATTTTAGAAGTTTAATTTTAAATGATTTTTAGCTTTCTCGCACTAATGTTAATTAATGTAAATAATTCATAGATATTCCACCTAAAATAAATTGCCAATATTCCAAACTTTCTGCTCCAGCAATTTAAATATTATGCAACTAAGATAGACATTAGATGTTGACTACAGACTAACTATTTTAAATTTTATAACTTTGTACATTATTATTATTATTATTATACAACAAAGTATTACTATAACTCAGTGGCATTTTCTGAAATTTTCAATAGGGGAGGGACGTTGCGGTTAATTTCTAGAAACATATGTAAAAGGGGTATCGGCGTATAATAACAACCAATGAGCCAAGTTCTTTTAAGAATACTGGTAACTTAATATTACATTCCCATATATTTGGAAACAATTGACTCTATTTATTAGGGCAATAGGGCCTTTTTCCCTAATTGTATCTATAGATATTAGGCATATTTAGCATATTGTATTTATTACTACAATACAAAAATAAAAATGTTTATGCATACCTGTATGTCTAATAACAAACTTAGTAAATTCATAAAGTGAATAATCAGAACCATTGTATTTGGCAATGGGTTTTCCATTATGAAACAGAACTAATGATGGGACTCCAGTTATACCATACATGGTATTAAATCTAAAATGAAAGTTTTGAACTTTAATTTTAACAATTATTATAGATTTGATATAAATAATATTAAATACTTATAATTTTACTGTATACCTTTGTTCAGATATAGCATTAAATGCTACCATTTTTAATTGAGGAAATATTCTTGGAAGTACATTGAAGTGAGGTGCAGCTAAAGTGCTGAACTGACATGATCTAGCATAAAACAACACTAATGAACAAACACCAGATTCTCGGCGATTAGTTACTTCTGGATCATATTTTAAGACATATCCAAGTCGTGATGAATTAACAACCTAAAGAAAAACTAAATAATTTATTCTGCAATCGTAAATATGATAATGAATATTCAAAAATATATTTTCACAAATGCTTTACACGTAAATTATTATTATTGACTAAGTAATTAATTTGTAACCATTAGGTCAATTAAATTAATAATACCTTTTCAGTTGAAATTTTAATGATAATAGGTAGGTAGGGTGAGGACTATACATTAAAAATAATAGATATGAACATAATATGCACATATGAAAAAAAAATATTCATAAAAAAAAACTCTAATTGAAAAAAATGTGAGGAGGCAGATTTGTATTTTATTGTTCTCTAAAAATATTAATTAATTATCTTAGCAAACTTGGATTTGAATTGACTATTTGTATTCTATTTCTGGTTTTGAATATTCAGGATTTGATTTAAAAATTAAATATGTTTTTAATTTTAAATGAGTACTTGTAAATTTACCTATCTTTATTTATTAATTTTTCTAAGAAAATGTATATTAAGGCGATTCTAAATAATAAACTTGAAGCCCCTCGCCATGAAAAAATAAAAATACAGTTCTGGCAACATGCCTTATAAAAAGAATTAAGTATCAATAGATAAATGACTAACAATATTTTATGATATTAGTGCATATTTTAAAAATATTATTAAATTTATAAAATATTACCTCAACTGAAAATTCTGTTTGATTTAAATGTAGAAGCGTGGTACAATTTACAATTCTTGAATTATTAGCTGTAACATTAGCTAATGGTTCATTAATGGATGGTTGACTGGTATTTGTATTGTCCGTGCTAATTTCAGCATATATAACTGACGATAAAAATGTACTTAATTTAAATTCTTTTCCACCATTGCTAGCAGTGCTTGTAGTTAAATATGCTTGCATAGTAGGCAAGTAATTATGTTCTTCTTCCATTTTTTTCTAAATAATTTATTCGTAAAATCAAATAATAGTTTGTATTCTAAATCTTGAAAGTAAAAAACATACCTGAAAGCTTTTTATGGCATTACTTATTGTTAGAATATCTGTAAAATCTGTTACTTGCGGTGGAATTGTAAAATTTTTTGGCGTATCTGGTTGTTCCAATGGTCCAAATTTACTATCGTCAATGTGTACATTTTCTTCAAATTCAGCTGTAATATATTTTTAACCATTTATTATTATACTATTATAATGATTTCATCAAATGATGTCTTACCCAATGCCAGTCCGCAAACAGTTAAAAATAACAAAATATGTGGAAAATACATTGTCTTATAGTTAATATAAGACATACTCGATGAGCATGAACTAAAATTAATGTTACTGAAAATACTATTTATTTTTTTTTGGAATTACATTAGTTTACTAAATAAAACCGATCAGATCGAGAATAAAACAATTCTACTTTATACTTTGATAGTTCAATACATTATTATTCTTAAGAACATTATCATAAACTGTCGATATTAAATATGTAAAATAATTTATAGAATAAAATTACGAAATTTCGGTGATATTTTATTCGGCTATTTAATATTTATTATCTTATTTCTGCATTCTGCCTTGGATAGAGTCTATATAATATATTATTAATTCTTTCACAAAATAAAAAGAGTCTATTTATCATTCTGCCTGATAACTGATAAGTGATAAGTGTTTGAGTGTTTTCAATTGGTTTATCTATTTTCTATGTTGGTAACCACTTTTTTGACATCGACCCACAGTCGTGGCCCGTGGGTAGGTACTAGGTCTATGTTTTAATTGTTTTTTGACCTTAAATAGATTATAGAAATCTTAAACCGTGGACTGGACCATGAACATATACATATTATAATAACGATTAACCCTTTTTAAAGGTGTATCTTTAATCGGCGGTGACTAAAATCATGATCCTAAAATTTCACGGTAAATATTGTAGAGGGGGAACTTATAGCGCTATAATATTTATAAATAATAACAATAGATATAATATATAACTATATAAGTATATAAATGTATAAGTATATAACCATAGAACAAGAATACAAGATAGCCGACTACGGTCGTGACCTAGGTATGTTGAAGTTGACGGCCGACGCCATTTATAAAGCAGTCTGCTTACATTTATTTTACATAATATTTATATACATATACAGAGTGTCCCGTGAAAATATACCCATTAACCGCAAAGGGGACTAGCCGCCAGAACAAAACGGATTTTTTGCTATTTTACCTATAAACTAAAAGCAGATTAAAAATTATGAGATAAATGGAAAATAAAACGTTGAAAGATCAACACTCTCTGAAAACCAAATGGCTATCTTCAATAGTTTCAAAAAAAAATAATAAAAAATTACATTTTAACTATTTTACCAAAAAAATTAATAAATTTAAAAATAAAATATAAGCGGTCCTTGTCCCTGTGAAATTAATAAACAAGACAGATTTATGATAAATACATTATCTCAGCAGATATCGTAATGGATAAATCCTCGAGGGACACTCTGTACACTTATATACAGTGTGATCACGATATTAAGTACCACTGAATACCTCAGATGGGTGATTTTGTATTGAAATGGGGTTTTCGGGAGGTGATAGGGAGCACTTAAATACATATTTTCAGACTAGTTTCAAATTTTTAGCTCACTCGGTACGCGCATGCGCAACACAACTTACTTTTTTTTAAATGGTAACCCCAGTTTTTTAAAGCAGATTCGAGTAGAGTATTTTTTTTTAAACATTTATTGTATAATAAGTTTTTTCTATTTTCAAAACTGACCAAGTTAGAGTAAGTCAAAAGTTGGATTTATGCATAATATGATTAATATGTGTTTAATGCAATTTTCATTTATAACCACTGGAAATAATAAAATAAGTGCCAAATAAATGTTTAATGGTGGACGGAGTGGCCGAGCGGACTTAGGCAGGGGCTATATACACGGCGTATTCCGCCGCGTTTCGAACGCCACGTATTCCGCATCGTTTTCCGTCGATTTAAACCAATACGTTTTTAATTCGACGGAAAACGCCGCGGAAAACGATGCGGAATACGCGGCGTTCGAAACGCGGCGGAATACGCCGTGTATAGCCCCGGCCTAAGGCGTCGGTTGCGGCGCACACCGTCGCCGGTTCGAACTCGGCCACAGACGGAATTTTACTTCAGGCAGTCATGGTGTCCGGAGAGAGAGGCCGACATGGTGATATCCTCGTCTGGGCATGGCAGATACCTACGTGTGTGTTTGTTTTGGCAGAATTTTTAAGTGGGAACCCGTAGGTATCTGCCATGCCCGGGTGGGGGATGACGGCCTCTCTCTCTCCGGTCACCGTGACTTCCAAAAGAAAAATGTCGCCCGTTGCCTACCTGATAATATACTGCTGCGAATAGGAATTTTTATCCCAGGAAACAGAAGAGTTATAATAAGAGCACCATACACCGAACAAAGTTTGAGTCATATAGAGTTGCTACATTTAAAGGGAAACGAAGTGTACGGGATCAACTAGTTAAATACCTAATAAAAATTTAACTAACATAACACAACCGTAAAACCTCATAAATTAATTTTGTTAAAAATAATTCAAAAAATCAAGTTTCAAAGGAAGTGGAAAACTGGAAGGCTTACATCTCTAGTTAGGGCCGTCCTATTAGGACTCCCGCTATAGTCTTATATTAAATACAAACTTGTGGGGCCTAAAAATTGTAGATTTAATGAAATTTGGGTGTCAATACTAAAACCGTTGTTTTATTATTTAAATACATTAAATATGTGAAATTATTATCATATATTATATATTATACAATGATAATGATATTAATATTTAATATTATCATTATACTTATCTATAGACTATAATTCTCTAAATCCAGTGCTCAAATTGGGGGGTGAGCAGGGGGACGGAGCTCCCCTACTATTTTATGGTCTGTGTTGAATAATTGCGCTCTTGGAACGCAGTTTTTAAATATTTTGATTGAGCTCCTTTACTTAATTTTTCCCAATTCGAGCACTGTCTAAATCTTGAATGTGTTATGTAATATGTTACGTAATTATTAGAACCTACTCATCTTGTTAAGTTGTAACTATACTAGTATCAGTACTTATTTCACTATAGGTAGGTTAATTCAAATTTTCTGCGAACGACTCCAACACAACCGGTCCCCTTTTGATAGAAAAATAAAGTTTTTGTTGTTTCGGATCATTGGCAGATTTCATTAACTCTGCCTAAATTTATTTGGCTCTTTTGATATTTGATTTTTATAATTGTAGAACTCATTTTATGTAGAACTTCAAAAACTAAAAAATACTTTAGGTAATACAATTATTCACTTACAAGTTACAGAATACCACAGACAAAAAATTTTCAAAATAATTAATTATAATAATTAGAGCCATGGTGGAAAGATCCTGGCGTACCTGGGCTTAACTTGGCTGATTTGTTGACATCCAGTATTTTATCATAAGAAATGTAATTTATGATCTATAATATTATAATATTATCGTTTTTCGTATATGCAATGATTATTATAAATGTAAGTTGTAACATACAAACCATAGTGACCATTACAATTTATTTTAACTTAAGACATCACTAAACGTTTTATAAGTAAGTAGTAACCCTAGTCCCTAATCATATTATATAATCCACGGACTAAGATATAATGGACTGGAGTCTGGAAACGAGTAGCTTATCAGTGGCGAGTGGCCACAAATGTATGTATAAGTGATAAAGTGCGGGGGAGGGAGGTCCCAATGGGAACCTAAAGTTTACAACGCCATCTGTATAAAATACAAAATGTAAATCCAAATCAAACCACCGATAGCCCTAATAACATTGGGAAACCCACAGATATATAAAAAATATTAATAATTTTAAAAAGGTTATACCACAGAATTATACTATAATATTTCTTCAGATGTTCTTATTATTTCTATATTATTAAAAATAGTTTCAGTCTTTCATGTTAGTTTGTAGTGGAGAATTTACATTTTTTGATAGTAAAATAAGGTATTTGGTTAGTGCAATGGTTCATAAAATTCTGAGGAGGCTGAAACCTGCTCCAGTCACGCCTAGGTGGCTAGGCCTGGTGTAAGGGCGTAAGCTGCAGGGTGAAGTTCAAGCCATGACAAAAAAAAAAAAAAGAAAAAAAGGCGGCTATAGGCCTACTAATTATTATACTTTTACAGATTTACTAAATAAAAATAAAAACACATGAAAGTGATAAATGCACATGCACAAGCACAATGCTGCATGACCTGCATGCCAATTATAAGAGGGTTAGTGACGTTAGTGTATTTGCTATTTACAATACCTAGCTTTAATATTTTTTATAATAACTGTTTAATAAAACAATATAGGTACCTGTAGGGTTACAAGGTACCTTACCTTGTACCTACCTGTAAATATGCGTGATAGGGAGGCGCCAGTAGTGGATTCAGGTCAACCAGGGGGGGGGGTGAATTTTCAAAAATTAAATTACCTTTTACAGCCCAATATTATAATAAATAAATAACGTAAAAAAGACAGCCCAAGGGAGGGGGTGAACACACCTTCCCACCACCCCCTTAGTGCCCTCCACTGTTAGGCCCATAACATATATACCTATAGTAGGTACCATTGGTTCTATTCTAGTATTATTACTATAATATACTAGACACTAGTATTCATAATCAAAGGTAGTATACCTATATATAGGCTCATAGCTATATTATAGTATTAATATAAATAATTACGTCATCATAAATTATTAGTTACTTAAACATTTGTATTAACATTTTGAAGAAATTGATATTTAAAATCTTAAATGTTTATTGATATACCTACCTACCTACCTATTTAATAACAATATTTTTTTTATGTTTTTATACCTACATGCGTTATATTGTTATGAGCTCTGTAATATTATTGCAATATATTATATATATAATGCAACCTGCCATACAAAACTATATAAAATATTAAAACATGCTTATAAGTACATAACCTTAAGCCTCGCATAACTTCATTAGGTAGGTACTAACAAAGCTAAAGAACAATACAAAACTTGTCATTTGACAAATTATTAGGTTCCTACCTACCTGCCTACCTATACCTATATCCTTAGTATACTGCATTATTATATAATAATACAATATGATACATATCATAGTCCATAATAGGTATAGTGGCAATGGTAGTATAAGAATAACTACAATAATAATTTATAATACGGATTTTTACAAATTTATCAATATAATATACTTACCTAATAAAAAATAATATATTACATTAAAATATTCCACCTTTTCACTTAACTCGCATATATTGCGCAGGGAGT